CTTAGCTGTAGAGGGCAGTGTCACTGGCCCTCATATGTAGGATCCGAACCGGGGCCCTCTGGCGTCCCAAGCCAGCTCTTAACCAACGTGCCACTCGGCTGGCCCCTGATATTCTTTATGTGCAACTTTTCTGTAAATTTTTAAATATTATCAGTAATATTTTTTAATTGACCAAACTTTTAGAAACATAGTACTACTTCATATTGCCATTATTTTGTCAAAATCCACTGTAAACAGGAGCTAGATTTCCTTGAAAGAAACCTCATTCCTGATGCCACTGCAATTAATAACCACTCACTTTTTCTGGTTTTGATTCCTCTTCATTCTCATCATCTGAGGAAGGACCTGCCAAGGTTGACACTTTGCTAATTACACCAAGTCTGGCTAGTTGATCCAAAAAAATATCACCACCTTTATCTACTAAATCCCTTATGATCTGCAAAGCCAGCAAATGGCCATCATCATCATCCTGGGGAAAAGAAAAAAAGAAAATTACAGAAAAGTAAAAACAAATTTAGCTGCCTAGAGTAGACAAATGCAACCATCTGCACAATGTATTTTACTGAAATTATGACAACAGTTAAATTATTTCAATGACCATTACCTAAAGGGAATCTACAGGAGTTTCAAAAAAGATAAAAAACTGACCTCTTGATCAAGGACAGTTGCAGTGATTTCCACCAATACTGTAGGCAAATTGTGACCAACATCAGAGTCGCAAACTTCTTTTAACAGGGCTTCAGAGCAAAAATGAATCATTTTTCGAATCAGAGCAAGACTTGCTTTCCTTGAAAAGTAAAAGAATTTTAGGAAGTCAAGATAAAATAAAATGCAACTATACATTAATAAAAACTAAAATATGCCATGTAAATTTTATACAATCTGCTAAAAGGTATTCTTAATAAAAGAATACAAAAAAATTAAAATACTAGCACTAGTTTATGTTCATTTTTTAGATAATTTCATTTATTTCCTAACACTAACATATTGAGCTCATCAAAACTAATTTTTATAATTTTCTTACATGTGCTACTCTATTTCATATTTAGCCAGCATTACTGTTAACATGCCATGATAATTTTAGAAAATCAAGTAAAGATAATAAGAAACTACTAATGGGCTGGCCGAATGACTCAGCTGGTTAAGAGAGCAAGCTCTGAGAAATAGGGTCGCCGGTTCGATTCCTACATGGGCCAGTGAGCTGTGCCTGAGCTGAGCTACCACTGTGCTGCCAACAGGTGGCAGGATGGCTCAGCTGGTGAGAGCACTTGCTCCTAACAACAAGGTTGCAGGTTCAACTCCCACATGGGATGGTGGGC